GTTGTTGAGTCCTGGATTTATTCAGAATAATTTTGAAGGATTTAAAACAATTCAAAATATATATCCTAATTGGAAAGAACTAATGCCTTAGCAACCTTGATTGTGCCCAAATTAATATATGAGGATTAAATAATGCCAAATAAATTTTTCATTTTGACAAATTAATCCTAAAAATTCATGAAAAGCATTTATTATGAAAATTTTATAAGAAATTGCATTAATAGGTACCAGAATGTACTATTCTTACAGTTATAGTAATCAAAATCATTTTTGGCATACAAAAGGTATCTGAAAGAAATGGAATGGTGTGCAGAACAAGGATAATCATATGGATATGCAATGTGTGGTGTATAATTCAAGAAACCAATGGAGAAGGTTGGGGCTTTTATCAGTGAGTTGTCACAGAATATCCAACTATGTACTCAGCAGAAAGTTAACTTTCTACTTTAGTTATAATAAAAATGAATCCTAGAATAATTAAAGATCTATTAGTTTAAAAAAGATCATCAGTAATATATAAAGAAAGAAGCCAGAAAATTCAGAAAACTTCATGAATAGATTTAATGAGATGAAAATTTAAAACTCAATGCAATGAAATACTCCATAAAAAATCAAAAGAAATATGGAGGAAAGTGTAGAATACATAGTATTAGGATATCTAATAAAAGATTTCAAAATCAACTTTAAAAAAGATAACTATTAGAAAATAAAAGTAAGGCTAGAATTAAGTAATCATAACATAAAGGAAAAACTCAGGTTATAATAATCTGATGAACTCAACCTAATGAAAATTCACAAGACTGACTTAGAACAACTCACATCATATTTTTCTTATCAAACTGGAAAGACTGGCGAAGTCTAGTACTTACAAAGCTATGAGAAAGCACGCTGGGCATGAATATATATTAATAAGCATTTGAGTATAAAATTTGGCATCATACATGAAAAAAATGTTGTTCCAGAACAACTCAGTAATCTCACTTTTAGAACTTTTAGAACTTTCAACTAGGTTTTTGGAGACTGATTTGGTAACTATCAAATTTTAGTGGTCATTTTCTTTGACCCAAGCATGTCACTTTTAAGTATATGTCCAAAGACACATGTAAAGATAATCAGGGCAGCACTTTGACAGTAAAAGACCTAACAAGGGAAGAATGAAAAAGTAGATTATAAACTAGGTAGCTACTAGAAAAAGTAGAATAAATCTCTAAGTAGTAACAGCATATATAATTGCATTAAACCTTTAAAATTAGTGATTTCTTACTGTTAACTTTTTTTTTAAATTTTGTATTATTTCTATCCTTTTTTGTTTTGTGTTTTTGTCTAAATAAAAAGTAAGCCATAGAAATTATGTTTTGAGTTCTAAAATACATGTATGCTCATATCGAGATCTATATATACAAAAAAGGATACATATGCACCTACATAGTAATGTTAATTTCCTCTGAAGATGGCATTAGATGCAAGAAAGAGTACGTATGAACTGGATCATTTTTTACTTTACAGCAAAGGTATAGCACTGTGCATTTAGCTTATTCCGAGAAGGGAAGGTAATTTTCTCAAATGTTCACTTTCTTGTCGCTGAGACAAAACACCCAGCACTGGCAATTTAAAGGAGAAGGGGTTTATTTGGCCCATAGATTCAGTGGGTTCAGCCCAAGATTAGTTGAGAAAGAAATGGCATGGTGGAAAAATCTGTTCATCTCATGCCTACCAGAAGAAAAACTGAGAGACAGAGGAGAGAGGAGAGAAAGACTGAGAAAGAAAGAGAAGGAAAGGGAAGAGGGGAAAGAGATGGAGAAGTTGAGGAAGAGGAGGTAAAAGAGGAAGACCCCTCAGGTCACACTCCCCAGTGACTCACCCTATACTCAGGCTCCACCTCTTCACAAAGCATTTAGCTATGGACCAAAACACTGATGAGTACCCCCACGGTCCATTCAACAACTCTAAAACACATGAGACTTTAGGAGAACATTCTATGGTTTAACTATAACATCTTTTAAAGAGAAAAATTAAGGACCAAGAACAAAATTGTCTGCATTCAAGAAGGGAAAGAAAGAAAAGAGACTATGGCAAAAACAAATAATAAAATGTAGAGCCAAAATACAGAGGAAGGGCAGGAGGGAGTGCAGGAGAACCAAAGACTGAGAAAAGGCCTGATTGACCCAGTCTAGAGAGCAACTGAAGGGCCAGGGACATAACACAACAGCACATGTGGCAAGCATGAGGTCCTGAGTTCTAGTCCCCATGGAAAAAAGAAACAAAAATAGTTGAGTGGTATGGAGAAAGTCAGGGAAGGAAAGATTAAAGGCAGCTAGCTTCCTGCACACCTTTGTAGAAAAGAGAGGTCCGTCTCCACCCCAAACCTCTTGAATTAGAAGCTCTACAAAGGACACCCAGATGCAGAACATTTTGAACACCCTTTCCAGTGATGCTGGTACACAGCCAAGGGTGAGTACCATGCAGTTAAAACTTTAAGAAAATAAGAAAGCTAATGGGTGTGGGTCATTCTTACTAACTTTGACAAATGAAGGAATGAATGAATTAAATTGAGAAGTCACTCAAAAGGTTATCAGGGTCAGGGAAGATGTGAGAAAACTGTAGGTTGGAATGAAGAAGCCGATGGGACAGAAAAGACTGAACAAGCAAGGAAGGCAGAGAGGAGGAGAAGGGAAAAAGCAACTTCATGTTTCTTAACTTACTGTCACATAGCAGGCCTTTTGTATGTGCTGTCACCTTTAATATTCCTCTTTCTGGATTTGGGGGCGTGTGTTACTGTATGCCATGTACACTGATTAAATGATTCTCAGAGAAGCTAAATGAATAATAGCAAAGACCCAAACTGATGAGAATGCCTGGGCTCTTTCCTCTACAGAGCCAGACAACAAGGTCTTGGAGGCAGCGAGCAGATACGGAGTCTAAGGCTGAGCTGGAGGAGTCATCTCTGTGAAGAGGAAGAACATGTCCATCAGTACTGATGCAGAAACGAGAGGCAGAGCTTGCAAGTGCTTAGACAAACAGGCAAGAGAAGAAGCTGTGGAGCAGAGAGAAAAGGGTGAGAATCAGCACCAACTTCCTTCGTTACTGCAGTAAACCTGCAGCACAGTAACTCACTGGTGGGGACTGTGGTGGCCTAGGGACAGTGCACAGCCTCGCAGAAACCGGCTTTGACCTTCCCTCCCAGGGACATGGGAATCACTCAAAAACCAAGCTGTCACCTTCTGCAACAAATTACAAGTACAGATGACCTGAGCTGCTGAGTGGAAGCTCCAAACAGGAAGGGCAATGTCCCTGCCATCCGGGAGCCACGGCTGGAGTTACCTAAGCTGACTTTTTTCACTATTTGTTGGAAAGTGTCTGGTTAGGTAAAAAAGCACAACACAACAGAACAAAACAAAAAACTATAGAACTATCTAGTCCTCTGCTTTCCAAAGGTCATATATAAATACAGGCAGTCCACAAACTATGAAAGTTTTAATTTTTCAACTCTTAATGATTCAAAAATGTACCCGTACAACCACTCTGCTAACACAAAGTTTGTAAGAGATAATTTTGCCCAAATGTAGGCTAATGTAAGGTTCTGAGTGTGTTGAAGGCGGGTTAGACTAAGCTGTGATGTTCTGTCAATGTATTTTTCAATTTGAAATATTTTTGGCTTGACCGTGGATTTATAGGGATATAATTTCACCATTATAGCAGAAGTGTATGCCATTGAAGATGACATCCACTGACTTTCAAAATAAGTGCATTGTATACCTTTATTCACACTCAAATATACTTCCTTCAGTGCAAGAAGCATGCACAGGCTGTGCGTGAAAGAGGCTGCTCTCAGCAGCTAAGAAAATCAGAGAGAGTCTGTGGATTAAAGTGTAGAAAGGCAGGTTACGATCAGGAAGGTTACTGTGTCTTTGCTGGTGCCCCTGGGCTTCCAATCCAGAAAGATCGCCAGAGCATCATGGGATTTCCATAGCTTCCTGAGGCTTGGCAGGTAGCCACTGCTGAATGTGATTTGCCAGTTATTGTAAAGCGGTAGTTAAATCAAAAATGAAAAGCCCAGTGTTCCAATAACATTTTTGTTGTTGTTGAAACTCAGTAGCCTTTGTTTAAAATAGGTCTTGGTGGCTCTTTCGGTTATGTAACAGTCAGATGCAATGTTAAGGAACGACATCAGACACTCGCAAAGTACTTACTCTGTAACTATTAATTTGATTTGGGAAGTATTTGTTTCCATACTGCTTTTTTTTTTTTTTTTCTTTGCAGGAGAAACTTCGATGGCTTTTGCAAGAGAAAAAGTGATAGAAGTTGTGTGTGTGTGTTTCTATCAAAATTGAAATAAAATTCAGAACATATACCTTTACTAGAAACGATAGATTTTACATCTGTGGAAAACAATCAAAGTGCAGGTCCCTTAGGCACTACCTATGTTTCTGTATTACTTTGATTTGGCAGAGTAAAAAACCAGCCCCTTAGAAATTTTGCCTTTGGGTATTAAAAAAGAAAGCAAAACTTCTTTAGGTCTCCTTTGCCACTTTCCATAGCCGCCTTCTCCTGGCAGGTGGGATTCGAATTCCTGCAGGCTTTTCCAGTACGGTCAAGGGACTGCTCAGGGCTGTTCAGAAATACAGAAAGAATTTTAACACCTACTCTCGACGCCTTGGCTGATTGAGAAAATATCACCTTTGAGGTCATTCGACATTTTATTTATTTATTTGCTACAGTTTCAATGGCATATGTATGTCCCTGGCCATGCAAAACTGACCTAGGGAAAACCAGTGATTTCCTGTTCACCTCTTCTCTCCCCCAGCTGCCTCTCTGTCACCTTGTAACACTGGCAGGCTCTGGACATTTTGCACGCTGGAGAAAAATCACTGTTTCGCCTCCAGCAAGGAACAGTAATGTTGTAACACTGACTCCTCCTCAAATGAAGAAAGAGTGAACAAGTGCACCCAGAGCGCAGCTTCTCAGAGGCACCCGGGCTGGCACCGGAGCGGAGCTGCCATCCCCAGGCGCCCCTTCTGCGCTGGGCTTCCCCCGCCTTCCTTTTCTGTTTCACTCGGCTGCTCTCTCGCTTTCTGGATTTTACCGGCTGTCCAGGAGACTGCTAGACACGCCATGGGTGTCTGCGTCCCGGTGCGGCGAGTGCTCCGGGCCTGAGCGCACAGACTTTGTTCCGCGGCAGAAGTGAGTACTCGGGCGTCCCCGGCTGCGGGTTCGAGGCCGCGCGCGGGACCCAGGCGAGCGGGCGGCGGGCGCGGGCTGCAGGGGAAACCCCGGCAGCCAGCGAAGCCGCAGCTCGGGCCGCGGGAATTCCGGGGCTGGGACCTAGCCAGCCCCGGTCCCCGATCGGAAGCCCTCCAGGGGGTTTGCCAGCCCACGCCGGCTTTTCCTGCACCTGGCACCCATTAGGGTCTGCGAGCCGCACCTGCACGCGCGCCCCTGAGGACGAGTTTCTATCTGATCTGAGATTCTCAGAATGTGCATTGTTTACGTCAAAATGAAAAGTGGTGTGCTAATAGCAGGCAGGGAACCGGGGCTCTGACAGGTGGTGCGGTGAGAGCCGTCTCCAGCCTCCGGTGGGGAAAGTTTGGTGCCACCCGCACCGACCCCGAGGGGTGGCGCCTCCAGACCGTCACCTCCAGCCTGCGGGGCGCGCAGGTGAGCAGCCTCCCGCTGGATCCCGAGCTACACCGCTTGCACCGGGAAGCCAGCCTGCTGTGCAGAGGGCAGGCAAGGGCTAGAATTCGTGCTCTAGGAGTAGGAAAATATGCTTTTAGCGACCGCCGCCTGTATCCGGGGAAGCAATCCACATTTCCCTTATAACTGGGTATTTAGGATTTTCTGTGATTGGACTTGAAAATGGTTGCGAACGTTATTGTTAATGGCAAGGGTTTCCCACCTGAGCCTCTACACCAATGTAGTGCTGCTAATCATACAGCCCTGTCCCTTGGTTGTGCGACCTGGGATAAGACACTTACTCTCTCTGGGCCTGCTTGCACTGCAAAATTTAGGGTAATTTAATGGGGTAAATGTGCTATACACCGCAAAGGAAAAACGAACGTAAACATTTTTTATTGTAGTGTTTTTTTAAAAAGTAAAGGTCCGGAAAGATAGATCTTTTGCAAATAGGAAGGGGACCAAGAGATGGAAGGAGGGGAAGAGGAAGGGTACGAAAAGTAAAAAGAATTAAGTTGCTATATGCACATGTATCAACTCCCCACAATGTGTGTATCACTGTCCTACCTACATGTACTGATAAAAATTTTGATTTTTTTTTATTAAAAAGTAGGGATTGTGAGTCTTTTTGAGAATTAACTGTTTTCTCCCCATGGGAGGGGAAGGGGCTTCTTAAGGAGTGCACACGCATTGTACATGCAATCCCTGAGAGTTTGCAAAGACCTCTGCACACCTTATCTGCTTCCCAGGTGAAAATCCACCTATCTCTAGGAACCTGCATCAAGACCACCCAGCCAATTCCCTAATGGCAGGTGGGATAAGTATGAGAGCAACTTCTCAGAGGAGTCAACAACTCTGCTGAAGGAGATGGCCTTCCTTCCAGGGTTAGCTTCCCAGCCAGTCTCTCAATAGCTTCACCAGTCTTTGCCTCATGCAGACCTGTCCTCATAAGTCTTTCAAAAACGTTCCTAAAGCAACAACCTCACCTCTGGAGGTTTTGGCCCTAAAAACAACACAGGAGAGCCATCTGAAGAGAGCTACTGTCCACATGAAAGAATGCTGTTCATGTCACCCAGTAAGACATAGTCAGAGAAGCCAAGATTTTATTTGAAAATGAAGTATGATTTGCTCCCCATTGCACAGTATAAGTAGGTAGTAGCTTTTATAGGCACTTCTGTACTTTAAGAGACTAAGAGTTTATATCTTATCGGCTCAGATTTTTCACTGTCCCTGCCAGCAAAGTGTAGCTCTGGTCTATGAATTGGAAAACACACAGTATCTTGTGCTTAAAAGCGTGGTTCCCACGTTTTTGAAACCCATTGAACTTTTCTGAGCCTGACTTTTCCTGTCTGCAAAACAGGGAGCGATATAACTTTCTTATACAGATCTTGAGCAAATAGAAATACTATTCATGTCATGCCTGACCCACAGTCAAAGATAACTTACTATTATAAATATCAATGTGAGATTGTAATTAAGTGTCCATTGGTCTAAGCTGTTTAGAGTGGCTTTCTTTTCTACAGGCTGTAGTAACAGAATGAGTGAAATCAGCTCTGATCTAATTTTCAAACATGAGTGAATCTCCATACTATTTCAGCTATGCTGGTTCAAGCACTGTTTTACAAGTAAAGTCTGATTAGACTGATAGATTCTCTGCCCTTCTCTTTGTTCCTTTTATCCCATAAGCTTGAACACAGATTGGCTCTCTGTTCCTGTAGCTACAGAAAAGCTTGGCATAGAAAAAAGAGAAGTCTCAGGCATGGGTTCATATTCAAATACCTCAGAAACTGTCCCTACGTAGAGATCTATATTGTTAACTTTCGCTATTTGGCATAGATTTGGCTTTAAACTCGGTGGATACTCAATGTTTCTCTCTCTTTGCCACTCTGTGGAGTCCTGACCTTTCAGTAACAAGTGGTCACATGACATGGAAATGTGTGAAAGAAATGTCAGAACCTTTTTAAAAAGTTGCCTACCCACAAAATAGGCAAAGATTCATCAGCATATTCTGGACAGATATTCTGCTGTTCAAAGTGATAATGCTGATAGCTATTTTTCATTGAGTCTTGTAGATGTCCTTTCATTTATTACCGAAATTAATTTTTATAACAACCCTGCAGAGAATGAGTAATCATTTAAAACCTCACAGATTAGGAAACTGGATTGGAGACAGCTACATTATTTGCCTAGTATGCTTAGTTTGGAATTCAAGTCCAGGTTTGTCTAACTTTGACACCCACTCTTTTCCCATTATACCCAGTGCTGCCAACTTTTCTGATATCACAACACTGTATCATGCCAAATGGATTTGATTTGAATTATGCCCACCCCCTTTTTGAGAAACAGTCTCTTTATCTAGTCTAGTCTGGCTTTGAACTCACTATGTAGCACAGGCTGGCCTCAAACTTGCAGTCATCCACCTACCTCGGCCTCCGTGAGTACTGGGATTACAGGCATATTTACAAAGTCATGGATTATTCTTAAGGGCATAAATAAACCAATGTAGTGAATAGCCTTTATCAGTGCAAACATATACTTTGTTTATGATACATATTAACAGGTAGCAAGTTAGGAGAATAAACTTTCCTGACTCTTTCCAAGCCCAGCTGACAAATAAGGCTGGTTCACCACCACTGACCTCCTCAGTCATCCTTCTAAATAAAACATGCTTCATTCTTTACTACCTGTAGAATTATAGCACTTACATTAACTTTACTATGTTAGTGCTTTTTCACTCATGTATTCAGCAAACGCTTTCTGAGTTCTGTTTTGTGCTCAGCATTTGACAGTACAATGCAGAATAAGACAGAGAGTCCCATCTCTTATGGAGCAGCGGAGCACGAGAGTGAGAAATAAAAGGCAGGAGAGCAAACACACAAGGATTATTTCAGATATTAATACATGCTATGAGGAAAATGGAGCTGGGGGCTAGAGAGTACCCAGCTAGGGGAAAACGTTAAAGAGGAAGTCAGAGAAGACTTTCTTAAGAAGGTGACCCTTAAAACCTAAAGTTGAATTAAGAAAAATTACAAAAATAAAAAAGCCCTCCCTGTGAAGGTGGAGGGAAGGGGCTGCCTTTGCAGAAAACATTGCAAGAGAGAGACCTTGTAGTAACATGAGCGAAGCATTAGAGCCTCAAAGACAAGCCCTTTACTAAACATACTGGATGTAACACAGGAGGGAATTGTCATTTGAATGCTTACTATACCATGCTAGGCTGTGATGTATATCTCATATTTGTCTTATTTAATCTGCCCAGCTATTTGGTGAGTTAGCTCTTTTCATCTTGACTTTATCATTGAAACCACTGAGACTCATAGAGGTCAGACAGCTAATTCAGGGTTACGAAGCTGGCATTAGAGTCCCTTAATAAGAGAACATTCTCCTATTAAGTGTCACATGAATGATGCAATTAGAGTTTGGGGATTCTGGGGGGCAACATGCCACAAATTTTAAAGCACATAGAGAAAGATCACATAAAAGTTGAGTACTGAGGCATTAAATGTTAAAAAAACAAAAGGAGAGGAGAAAGAACACCCCACATAAGGAAAAATGCACACGTTTAGGGCAATAGATATGTGCGTAGGGTTTTGGGTTTGCTAACGCAGCATATGACCTTTAAGGTAATCTCTTCTGGGAGTTAGAGCATAAGATGAAGGAAAATACAAAATTATATTAGATAGTTAATTGTTGACAATGATTTCTATCTGATGTCTCAAATTTCAGCGTGTGTCTGGACCTGCACTCCTCAGTACAGTAGCCATCAGCCCAATGTAGCTGTTGAACACTTGATATGTAGCTAATCCAAACTGAGATGTGCTACAATTGTAAAATACACCATGAATCAAAATCATTGTATCTCTACATGAAAAAGAAAACATCTCTCAATTTTTATTTTGAGTACATGTTGAATTATAATATTATATATATATATTGGTTTAGATGAAACTTATTAAATTAATCACCCACTCACTTCCTCTTAATTTGTTTTAATGTGGCTTAATGGAAAATTTAAATGCATATGATTCACCTTATATTTTCATTGAGTAAGCACTGATCTTCACTAATAATTTGACAAAGAAACATTTCCCCCTATTGTCAAACAGATTTTTCCTCTGTTCTCTGCTCAATATTTTCTTAAGTTTGCCCCCAAATTCTGTTCTTTGGTGAAAAAGAAGTGTTATGGTGCTAATGTAATATAATGTTAATAGACTTAATACTGGTTCTTAAGGACTATTAAATCTGTATTATAATGTTCAAGTTGTGAAATAATAAGAATAAACATGTCATTGTATCCGGAGACCAATTTAAAGAAATATGTCTGTCAAATTGATAAGGGTGGATTGTAGTGGTTGATACATTTTATCTACTTGAGAAGTTTGAAATTTAACTGATTCAGCAGGGGGTCAGGGTCCTCACTTTTAAACATCCTGAGCCTGTATCAGAAGAGGAAGGAGGCTGGTATGGATGCTGCACCCCAAGCTGGTACACTGCACACAATAGAAGGA